CTCACCACACACAACCTAACCAAGTACTTTTGTTTTTCAAACAAATGTAAACACAAAAATAATAATAAAATCCATATAGAAGTGCATAAAAGTAATGTAGTTAATTAGATGCAGTATCATTTGTTTTCAAAGATTACTGACTTTTAAGATAGTCAGTAGTCGTCCGGAAGTTTCCTGTTTTGTATTCCTAACTACGCCACCCCCGAAGATGCTGACCTTGAAAGAGGCACTGGTTCAAACCAGCATTATTACTGCAGAAAGTGCTCTTGCCTAGGAAAAGGTGAAAAAGGAACAGCTGGCTTTCTTTAGGGTATCACTTAGAATCTCCAGAAGCAGTTAGTTTCAGTTAATTCAATACACACTCAGTATATCTGGCATAGATGTACGCATGTCCATCCTACGCTCTTCCATTTTAAAATATTATAAAATATCCCACAACATCCCAAAATTCTACCCAATGCTTTTCTTCCTCTTCATGAATATTCAATGAACTACACATTAGAAATCTTTTGAAGTACTTCAGTAACAATACACATAAATGCACTGCAGAAGTCAAATACTATATACTTGAATAAGCTTTACTATAAACCAGTTGCCAACATTCTGAAGACACTTAAGAACTACTTAAACTGTGATCCTGACAGCCGAAGCAAAAAGAAAATAGGTTATGCAGTACCAGCACAGCATTCAGAAATTATCTGCTTTGTGTTGGTAATGCACGGTATCGAGGGTTTGAAGTCCTATACAGAGTCAATATCGCCACCTAGGGGTGAATACGAAGTATCGTATTTATTGCCAAATAACTTTTCGGTGTAAGATAGACAAAAACAAACACCTTCCGTTTTATTTTTAATGATTTTTTTAGAAGGAAGTCTTTTACACATCTTAAGCATAATAGGTTCACTCAAACATAATGGTTATAGTTAACACAAAATTATATTTTAATTACTAATAAAGTACTGATCTTTAAAAACAGCATTAAGAAATCATCTTTAAAATATTTATTATAACAATTATTATAAATTAACTATAGTAAGTTTTCATATATATGGAGCATGAAAACACCAATTTGGCCAATAAGGCAAAATTCTGTCACATGGAAAAGCAAGCTGCTTTCTACTCAGCATAGACAGTGTTCCTGGACAGAGCCAGAAAATAAACAAGCAACTGAAAGTGTGGCTAATACACTACAACTGCTTTAATGAAAGTATCTGGGAAGTCTCAAACAAGTCATTTATCTTTAAGCCATTTACTTTAAAAGACCCTGTTATTGGGCTGGGAGAAATGTCATCAGAATGCCAACTGTAGTAGCTTCAAGTATCATTTCCTATCTACCCCTAACCAAATTCAAAAATAAAAGACAGTGAGGGAAGAATGTACAGTAGTAGGAAAGCTGTCAACCTCTCATAACATCTAAATCCTCATCTGCATTTCCTTTATCCTTCAAAAGCTAGTTCACCTAGTAACAATCAAAAAACAGACACTGCGTGAAGTAGGAAGGTACAAATCTATAACTTCCACCTGCTAGGCATAGGCAACCACTGTTAGTATAATTTTAGCCATTAAGTCACTATGTTAAGAAAAAAAAAAAAAATCACTGTGAAGAATCAACATAGTTACGAAGAGAAAGATTTTTCCCATCTCTAAAATATGGCTATCAAATTGAAGTCTTTTCAGAATGACAAAATTGAGAGTTTAAACACAGCTTGTATGAAATTGTTCTGGAGACACATCTTCTACTTAGGCTCTATAGTCACTAACTTTGCATCTCCCACAAAGAAATCACAAAACCTTTCAGAGTTCATCCATCATGTTATTTCTCAGGCTGAATATTGTATGTAAATATGGAGCAGTTCTCTGATTCTTCAACAGGAGCCAAGCACTTTTTCCTCGATAGTGAAAGGTAAAAAGAGTTTAGCAGAAAGAAACAAAAAGCTAACAATAAAATTTACCAATTCATCTTGCACCATCTTCATTCACATCAATCATTCATACGAGGCAAATGTGAAACTTATACTTGCAGAATTTAATCCCAGTGAAGAATATAAAACATTAAATCCAACAAAACTCAAGAGGTTAGGAGGGCTCTTAGCACTGCCTATTCCTCCCTTTACACTGATCTTCTGTGAGGTAGGTTGATTATATCAGACTGTTTTGAGAACAGGCAAGGAAAAATAACTGTATGGAAACTGCTGAATCACGGCCTGAATCTATGATTGATCACCTGAGACAAGCAATGAGTCAGCCCTGAGAACACAGGTGAAGGCAATTCACCTGTGGTACCGGAAGGGGCAGAGCCTGGCTCCACCTCTCCTAGATCCCATTTAAGAGCTACCACAAGGGAAGGGTTTCTTTTGGATACTGCTTCTCCTGGAGTCTTCTCAGCAAGCCTAGGACAAGGGTAAGTTTTCTATCCATTCTTCTTTAGTGTGATAGCCTGTTTATAAACGTCTTATTTATAACATTTGCATATTCATTGACTGCACAATAACTTAACTGACACACTTCAGAAGGCTCGTGAATTTTTGTTAGGTTCCTCATTCAGCCAGAAGGCGTCAGAAAGGTTTTGCATACAATTACTCTTCCTATAAGAGGATAGAGGGGAAAAAAAAAAGTTTTGAAGAAATACAAGGCATAAACAACAGCCTTATATTATAAGCTTACTTAACTTCCTCTTCACAATTCTTTCAAACTGTTTATTATTTATAGCTTTCACTTATTATCATTATGTAGTCAGTATCTCAAAGGAAAAAAAGGATCAATTTTTTCCTGTGAAATTCTAGTATATTAAACAATCAGAACATAAATTCTTTCTGTGTTTCTGCTCAGCATTTTGGTAGTGGAGTTACTTAGCAACAGCTAAGGCAACAGAATGGTGTTCACCAATCCACCTTTCACTGCAAACTAACACTTACAAAGGCATTATTTAGCTGCTGTGTGCCTCTTGATAGATCTATTTTTGAAGTATAAAATCCATTAGCCTGAGACAAGCCTACATGAAAACGCAGCCATCATGTACCATCTACAATGTGCTCCAGTTTAAAATTAGTAAAAATTGCCCATAAGATACACATGACTTTAAGCACCTCTGAAAAAAAGGGAGGAAGAAAGTATAAAACATAATACACAGACACAATATACAGAAGTAACAGAAGAATTAATTTAAAAAGATTTAAAAAGAAGAAAAAACATCCAACAATCTATGTACTTCATGCAAACAAACCAAGGCTGTATGTCAAGGACACCTTCTTGCCATAGAATATTAGGATTTCAAAAAAAAATATTGTTTAGTTCAGGAATGAATACACCCACTCCTTCCAAAACCATCCTCTTCACATAAGAGTAGGAAACAAGATGTATCACAACAACTATTAACAGTGGTTTTATTTTAAAAGACAGTCAAAAACAACAAAAAAAAAAAACACACAGAAATTAACAAAGCAAGTAGTGGATTAGCATTTACAACCAAACATTATTCTCTTTAAAGCTAACTATATGATATTAAGGAATTCTTTCTTTTTTTAATTATGGAAAGTAGGAAAGTAATAAATCATCAATTTACAGAAACAAATACAATTTGTCTTTCTTCATCTTATGAGATTGAGGTTCTTGAACAGAAAGATTTGAAAATACCCTGCCCCAATGAAGTGAAAAGATTGGCAGTTTTAGTGGTTTTGTCACCTGGTGGAATCATCTATGAATACTTTATTATAGAGATTCAATCTCCTGGAATTCATAATGCAGTCTATTTCATGTTTACAACTGGTAAAGAGACGAATTTGGACTTTACAAAGCTAAATTGAACTCTGCCAAAACATAGTGGGCAGCAGTTTAAATAAAATTTAAAATTAATACTTTCATTAAAAAAACTGTGCAAAACCTGAGTTCTGATAACTACTTGACAAGCCTTTAGAAGTGCTGAAATAATAACAGTAATACTTGATTCATTTGAGAATAGATGATAGATTTACAAGGACCCACTTTGACAGTACTGAATGAGTTCCTTTTTTAACTGGAGTGAGGAAAGCAACTAGGAACACTACTGTTTTTTTTTCCCTTTGAGCTGTTTTTGAGATCTGTTTTGGCTATTATCTGCTATCTCTCAAATACCTACAATTTGGTGAAAACAAAAGAAGTGCTACTTTTTTTTAAAAGAGAAACTCTTCTCAAATTTCATAACATCTTAAGCATTGTGTTTGACGATTTGAGACAACACATCAAATGACTCAGAGTACAAAGTACACTGTTTGCTTACAAGCAAAATTGCAAAAAGAAGAAAATTTATTCGTTCCACTTCACCAGTTTTCAAACTTAGGGTTACAACACTGAAAGTTAAGAGTTCAGATGTAAGCAAACTTTTCTACTTGCATTCTAAAAAAAAAAAAAAAATTAAATATATAAGTGAACAAAGCCAATGCTTTAGTATACCACTTAATGGAAACTGGCCTTGAGCTTTAGAAACTGTCTCTTCAGAGCTCACTCACTGTGATTAGGACACAAGACACTTAACAATACTCCTCAACACTACTAACAATTCTACCAGCACAGGCACACTACTCTACTGCATCCTGATGAAAAAGTGACATATTTCAAGAAAAGATAATGTATGTTTTATTTGTAGTCAACAACACAACCTACTGAAATCTTTAAGTCTGTATAAATTTGCACTGCACTGCAGAAAAACACATTCATATAAACAAAAGAAACACCTGATATGTACTAAATTTTCTCCCATGGAAATATCTACCCAATGCTTTTACTGGAATGTCCTGTCAAAAAGCTAGTTATTGTGCATCTGAAACAGCATTAGTTTAACATGTACTCAGAGTCACCTTCTGAGCTATGTCTGTAGAATCTACATTTTCTTATCTAAAAGAAGATTGTAGATGTTCTTTGGCAGTGAAATGCTTAAACAGACCAAGGTATTAAACTAACAAAAAGCAAGGGAAAGCTCTGACAATGACAATGCCATGAGGAAAAAAAACTTGACATATACTTACTAATTTGTTTTCTTGCATGTATATTCTTTGCAACTTCAGGCAGCCTTTAGCTATAATAATCATTCCTTCATCAGAGATCTTGTAACACTGACCAAAATGAATGTCTTTCAATTCTTTGCATTTTGAACCCAGCTGTAATTAATGAAATCAGAGCAAGTATTTAAAAATAAAGGAAAAACAATGTTTGACTGAACTAGAAAGTGACGGTAGTTAAGATTTCTTTTAATTCCTGCATCCCCTTAAAATCATCTCTATTTGCAGTCTGTACTATTACTATACGAAAACAAGAAAGAGTATAAATACACACATGACACAATGAGACTGCAATCAACAAAAAGATGAGTAGCACTTAAGACCTAAATTGTAGGACATATTAAAGCAACTAAAAATGCCCACTCACTAGACAATTGAAGGATATTTAATTAAAGATAACTACTTCACAACTTACACTAAATAGTCTTTTTAACAGAAGAGACAAAACTCATGAAAACTTCCTGTATGCCTAATGAAGACCTCAACTGCCTGTTTTTGCAATGTAAAGATACGGTAAAATCCCACCAGCCTGAGGTAAGCTGTAGCACAACAAATTGGATAGTATGGTTCTTAAATATATGACCTTATACAGATCTTTAAAGTAAAAGAGGTCATCTGATTTTAATTATATCCTCACAAACATTCTTCCATATTCATTTTTGTAGTTGACAAAGTCAAAAGACTAAGATTAAAAAAAAAAAAGTAGAACGGATATTACCTGCTTTAAACCTTCATCAGTGAGTCTGTCTTGATTGCCTACATGTACTTTCTGAAGAAGAGGACACTGAGAGGCAACTGCCATGATAGAGATGTCAGAAAGCTGTTTACATCTGTAAGCAGTATACCTTAGCAGTCCAGGACATTTACATGCCAATATGCAAACTCCTGTATCGGATACATTGCGGCAGTCAGAAATATTGATTTCAGTAATATTCTGGCTTCTTGATGCTATCTTTTCCAACAATTCATCAGTGACCTGCAAACAAAAATCAAACATTTAAATTTAACTCCTTTTGTAAGTATCTCCTATTTCATTAAAATAAAATCTACTGCATTTACATAAGCTATTACAATGATAAAAGGATTTGTTTCTTGAAAATAAAGAACATATTGCTGTGACCAGTTTTACTGTTAATTTTAAAGAATTCTGCTCCAATGTTTGGAGAAAATAAGATTAGCAGCTCATTTCACATTCCAGAGAAAGTGAATTTCTTCCTTTAAAAGCAAAGGATTTGCTTGCTCTTCTCTAGCTAAGATAGTATTTACAGGTGAGTATATGGTTTATATGTCTCTGAAACACAACAAGTTTTCACTTCGGCTTTGGTAATCATCCAAACCAACAAATAAAAAGTGATGCAAGTAACAGTGAGCATCTCAACAACATAAAACAGTAACCCAAGGTACCAATGAACAAAAGAGAAGAAAAGCAAAGGATGCAACAGTAAGAAAAGTAATTCAAGAACAGAAGTTTCCTCCTATTATTTGCTCAGTTTTAAAGTGAATATTTGTATATTTAAATGTTAACAGAGGAAAGACCATTAAATCAAAGAAGCATGCATTATATTCCCAGAGCTCTGACTAACAAAAGCATCTGCTTTGTACCTGCACACATTGTTAAATAACATGCCAACCATATTAAAAGATGAGAGTACTACAAACAAGGCAAGAAAAGTAGCACTGACTTCATTCTGAAGCACATAAGTCAATACAAGACCAAAAAAAAATCACAGAAAGATTAAATGCATTAAATCACCTTGCTTTAAAAAAAAAAGTTGAATTTAAAAAAAATCTAACAAAAACATACAAGAATGCTTATTCATTTAGTGCAAATGAGAGGACAGGGCAACAGAAAAGAACACAATTCTGTTCTGTTTTTCTCTCTTTTGTGGCTAAGAAACAAACTCTTTGCTGCACTCAAACTGTTTGCTGTTACTAGTAAGTCCAATATTGTAGAAGTCTAAGTCCAAAATTATAGAAGATAAATTTCAAAAGCAAAAACAGAAAAAGAAATACCTTGTTCTTTTGCCTCATCTCACAAAAATAGCCACCAAACCCTTCCCATATAATGACAGGGATAACAATTTCTGTTTACATTGGTTTAGGAATACAATGAAGAATTGACAGTACAGGTTTCCCAGGGCAATGCCATACATGATAAAGTTCAGTGAGATCCTAACACATATAACAGGTATAAATACTTAGCAAATAGAAATAAAATTAGACAATGAAGAGGGAAGTGATTTGATACACAGTATCTCTGGTCTGCATGAGATTGGGAGTCAATTGACAAAAAAACAGACAATCTAATTTTCTGTAGTGGTTTAGAAATACATTAGTTAACTAATAACTCTAGAAACAAGATCACATAGGAAACATATGGTTTCCTATAAACAGATGATCTGAAAGTAATATCCCACATATAATCTTTGTGTTCAGAATAGATGAACATCTTGACATGGGATCCTCCCATGGTCCTTCCTCTGTTTCTGCTAGCTACACAGAATTCTCAAGATACTGTTCTACAGATGTGTAGATAAAGTGTAACGTGTAATAAAGTAACAAGAAGCCTAGAAAGGGTGTACAAATAAAAAAAAGGCATCCTTAAACAGCTTTTCCAAAGAAAAGTCTAGGCTCTGTAAGAACCCCAGAATTATCATCTCTGAAGACCTCAAAAAACCAAGATCTGTTGTTTTATTGGTAGGAAGAGAGTCATAGAGAAATGAAGGAAAACTTGCATAGGCAAACATACCAGTTGAAAAATCACTGTTCAAACTGAAGCATCATTACATTTTTCAACTGAAAGATATGGTAGTTCTTAGGGATGAAAGTACCATTGCTTCATGTAGAACAGAGATAGGTAACCACAACCATTTCAAACAACACTCATCTCATGCTGTTTAGTAACTGATATTTACCAAAGGAAGTTAAGAAGACAGGTTAAGGAAGTTAATCTACGCGTTCAAACTTTTTCAGCCTCTAGTATGAAAATCACTGAAAATGCAGATATCAACCCGTAATGGATTTCTTTTTTTTTTTACCTTTGATCAGAAGTACAAGTTCTAAAAGCAAAACTTTTTTTCCACAATGATGCCTCCATACCTGTTGGCGACTACTCAGATCCAGCTGTTTCCAAAACTGAAAATCTAAACACAGGTCACGCCAATATTTACAAACTAATGATGCTGAAAGGCAGCGCTCATTCAGGGATAAATTGGAAAATATCTGTAAAGAAAGGGAAAACATTATTTGTCAAAAGTAATCATATTTGAGACATCATTATTTTATTATTAACATATCTCATAAAAGAAAGGAAGGTAATAGCATGCAGTGCACGACACTTCTGCAAGTTGCCCCCAACTTGATTAGTCACAAAAATCTTCACACACAACAGCTGACAATATTAATAAGTCATATTAGTAAAACCAACAACAAAATACGTCATAAGTACTCATTTCTTAGACCAAATTACAAATGTGCTTTTCAAATGGCATACTTAAAAAGAATTACAAATACAAATGTTAGATTGATTATAGTCTGTACACATTATTTACTAGCTGCAGGAAATGTTTTTTTAATCTATATTCTGATTCAGGTAGGAAGACCCTTTCTTTTCAGTTCAGTGAAGAAAAAAACTCATGGCACTGAAACAGCAGTCGTGAGAGAAAGAGATACAAGTAAACCATAATTTTACAGCAGGCTCAAAGGGTGGCCTTCTATTTATTATATTCAGGCCTTCCTCGGAATTACTACTGTTTAAAAAAAAAAAAAAAAAAAGTCTATCAAGTCTTAAATGTGGATTAGAGTTCATTTGTGGTTACAGAGTGTATTCACAAGTGACCCTACAATGAAAACAGGCAATCATAACACCAGGATACATACAAAGGAATGCAGTGTGCAAAACATAAAACAGTACTCCTCAACTGATGAGGACATCAGTTACTAAGCTGAAGCCTTAGAAGAAGTCTTCAAGAAAATCTGAAAATTTTAAAGTGCCTGTAGGAAAGCACTGAGTTCTAGAGAACATGGAAACATTCAAAGAAAAATTTCAGACAAAAAAAGGAATATCAAAAGGGGCAACAAGCAAGAGAATGGTTCCATCATCTCTGTGGTAGACTGGACAATTTGTCTCAAAAATTGTTAAGATTTCTAAAGTAAGAAAAAAAAGTATTGAAATATAGCTTATTTCCATGATTGGACACTAAAACAGATTAGACAATCAGCTGTCAGCAATAACAGCAAATAATTGCCTCTCTGTTCAAGAAGACGGCTTAGTGAATCTAAGACAGTTGATCTTTCCTTCACAGTGTCTGGTATAAATGCTACATTTTGCCTTCAAGAGAAAAGCAACGTTGGTAACACACCAGTGAGGTTTTTTTTTCAGTTGCAGTTGACCAGTGCTGGACAGAACCAGGACAGCTGACCTAAACTAGACAAAGGAATACTCCATACCACATGACAGCATACAAAAGAAACTTGAAAACTGAAGGGAGCTGGCCAGGGGGCAGGCACTGCTTGGGGACAAGCTGTGCATCAGTCAGCAGCTATCACTTGCTTTGTGTGTATATACATACATACATATATATGTATTTGTAATAATTATAATTTGGGCCCCTCACTACAAGAACGACATCAAGGCTCTGGAGCATGTCCAGAAAAGGGCAACATAACTGATGAAGGGACAGGAGTATGTGTACTGGGAGGAGTGGCTGAGGGAGCTGGGTATGTTTACTCTGGAGAAGGCCCAAGGGGGGGACGTTGTAGCTCTCTACAATTTGAATGGAGGATGTAGGAAGATGGGGATCAGATTCCAGTTGTATCAGGAGAGGTTCAAGTTGGATATCAGGAAGAATTTCTTCTCCAGAAGAGTGGTTAGGTGCTGCAACAGGCTGCCCAGGAAGGTGCTTGAGTCACCGTCCCTAGAGGCATTCAAGAAATGCTTACATTCTGTACTAAAAAACATGGTTTAGTGGGGAAATACTGAAGGTAGATGGATGGTTGGACAACATGGTCTTTGAGGTCTCTTTCAATCTTGGTGATTCTATGATTCTGCAATTTGATAACTATAATCCTTTATTCCTCTTTCTTTTTTCGTCTCAGTAAATAGTTTTCATCTCAACTCACAAGCGTTTTTTGTGTGGTTTTTTTTTTTTTTTTAATTTAATTTTTTTATTATTTTATTTTCTCCATTCTTCCACTGCAGGGGAAAACAGAAAACAACGGGGTGCGGAGCTGCTACTGGGTTAAATCACAACACGTAGCTTGACAGTTTTCAATATGTACATGGATGAAAGGCCTCCTGGGGATGGGGAGATGGTTGACTGCTCCTGGAAAACCTAACAACAATAACAAAGAAAAGTCAAATAACTACCTTCTGTAAATGGCTGCAATATTCCATCTCCCCTCTTGCTTCAACTTCTGAAAAAGTCACTGTTCATTATCTGCTGCAGACATCCTGAATGAGTCTGTGTGAACTCTGTTTTCCTGAAAGCCTATGCTTCTCTAAGAAGGTATGTTTTCCATTAAGGCATCAGTGGACCATGGGAGACAGAAATATGGATGAAACAATCACATCTGTTTCCTCCCTGCAGTTCTTTATATTAGTGAGTCCACGCAGAGCAAGATGGCTATAAACAGCATCCAAGAAATCTCCAGTCAAACAGTGAAAAAGCACACAACAAAGTGGTGATTTCACATCTGACACTCCTACTGCAAGAGTGTAGTTTAAGACTTTAAAAAAAGAAATCACTGTCTGAAGATTCTCTGAAACTCTAAGGTAATAAAGCAGTAGGGAATTTGAATCCCTACTGTCAGTAGAAAACAGAAAACCAAATCTTTTAACAGTCACAAAAATTGCAAAAGACAGCACGGCAACGTGATCCCTGTTATGTTCAGACATGCATCTGAATGACTCCAGCTAATACTAAGAAAGGATGATAACTCTGGCACTATAAGTTACTTTAAACTGGTCAGTCTTTACTACAGTGGGAAATAAACACACTCAGTTGTGGAAATATCTTATTTACTTTGAGAAACAAAAGCATGCAGTTCTTAAAACAAGAACATAGCAAACACTGAACAGGAAAGATGCTGCTAATCCAACCACTACTGTAAATATGAAAGCACTTAAGTTATTTTTGTTCCTATTTTTGCCATCCTATCAAAAGCCCCCACCCATCACAGACCTACAGCTAACTCCAGCACATGAAAGACATGAAAGCATTTGAAATCATGGCTGATTCCACAGTGTAAAAGAGTTAAGTGTTCTGCAGATGTCACAAATTGGCTCATTAGAGAAGCAGTAATCAAAATCAGCCACTAGGGGGAACGCAGGTGCTGTCAAAGTCGTTGTTCACTAAGTTCAAGTGTGCGCAGGACCAGGCACACAAGCTAGGCAGACAAGATCTTGCTGGTTTCATGTTTTTTGCACGTATTTTCTCTGACCTCTTGCCCATGACAGATAAATTCCGGATGCTGCTAGTCCAATACTTACCACATTTAACTTCTGCAAAGTGTACAGAATCACATCCTTCTGCATGTCCAACACATTTTTCCCCTCAGATCCCTCCCTAATCCCACTTCCTAAGCCTAAAAGTGAACTATCTCTCAGCACACGCTAAAGAAAACGTATATTTAACAAAACATGTTCTAAATTTCAGGTTCCTTTTTCCATGGCTAAAAGGCAGGCTTAGAGGGTGCACACTTCTACAAAACAAATAAAAACAACAACTCATGTTCCACTCTCACATCCCATCCTCTTCCAGGTGCCAGTGCCTCCTACTTCAGCTATTTGAGTGACAGGTAGTATTGGCGGCCCTTCTGCCCTCACAGTGGGTACCAAAAGGCTTCCCGGGCCTCTAGGCCACATCCCAAGTAAGAGTCTGTTTATGTTCATCATTAATGGCCTTATCATATCTTCCAGAAATAGTTTTTTTTAATGTCAGTCTCTGGCTTCAGCATAACCGTTCACTTAGACTGATAAATGACTACAATGAAACGTCAAAAATGCAATACTCAGAACAGCAAAAGTCATCTATCAGATAAAGCTGTCTCTTAGCCAGACCACATTCTGCAGAGCTTTAGCAACCCAATTTTATTTCAGTGACAGGTACAATCATACAAGAATTTTTCTTTTATGTATGATTTGTAAGCTAGTTGTTTTTACTTTGAAGCAACAAACCATAAATAGGCTGGAAGGGTTGAAGCTCACACAAGTGCAACCCCCTGCCACAGGCAGAGTTGCCACCCATCAGACCAGGCTGCCCAGGCCCCCATCCCACCTGGCCTTGAACAACTTCCAAGATCAGGGCAACCACAGCTTTTCTGGCAATCTGTGCCAGTGCCTCACTACCTTCTGAATAAATTTTTTTTTCTAACATCTAACATCCCTACTTTTAGTTTAAAGCTATTCCCCCTTGTCCTATCACCATCACACTATACGAAACATCAGTCTCACTCCTGCTTCTAAGCTCCCCAGATGTACTGCAATGCTTCCCCAGAGGTCTCCCTAGAATTTTCTTCAAACTGAGCAATCCCTCAGCTCCTTCAACTTCTATTCACAGGAGAGGTGCTCCAGCTCTCTGATCATCTTTGTGGCCCATCTCTGGAATCATTTCAACAGCTCTACATCCTTTTGGACCAGGGGAAGAACTCCATAAAGCAGACCTGCAGAGAAGAAATTGGTGGTTCTGATGGACAAGAAGCTGGATATGAGCCAGAAGTGAACGCTTCCAGCTTGGAAGGCTGCAATATCCTGGGCTGCATTAAAAGTGTCCAGCAGGGAATGGGAGGTGATTGTCCCCCTCTACTCAGCTCTTGTGAGGCCCCATCTGCAGCACTGCGTCCAGGTCTGGGGCCCCCAGCACAAGAAGGACACAGAACTCTTGGAACGGGTCCAGAGGAGAGCCACTAAAGGTAAATGACTGTTTATGAGGGTGGGTAGTGATAGGACAAGAGTAAATGGTTTTAAACTATGACAGAGAAGATTCAGGTTAGATATTAGGAGAAAGCTTTTCACACAGAGGGTGGTGACATGCTGGAACAGGCTTCCCAGAGAGGCTGCAGATGCCCCATCTCTGGAGGCAATCAAGGCCAGGCTGGATGTGGCCCTGGTCTAGTGGTTGGCAACCTGGCCCATAGTAGGGGGGTTGAAACTAGATGATCTTTGAGATCCTTTTCAATTCAGGCCATTCTGTGATTCTTGTTCTAGCGAGCCTAACCTAGAT